GATTCCCAGCTGCGAACCCTCTCCTGGTGTTAGCTGTTCTAGGAGAGGAGAATGATAACCTCATATCCCATCAAAGGGAGGAAGGAGGACAAGGACAAGAACTGCTTTCATAGCATTTAGTTCTGTGGTTAAGAAAATTTCAGACTGTATTTCAAGTCCTTCCTCCAGTGGATGGGAAGAAGAGATCTGAACAGGAATTCTCTAGTCAGGTGAGTGCTCTAACTACCAGCCTACAAAGTCATCCTCATGCTTGTATCCTCTTTGGCCCAATGATTCTTTCATTAGCTAATCCACAGGGGAACAGCTTTGACTTTGGGCCAGTATGTGAAAGAGAGTCTGATGCTTTGAGCTCTCACCTGGGAAGTTGGAGATCCACTTCCCCTGTTGTAACATAGGAAAACTCATAATAGAATGTACCATAGCTGAGGGGTAAGGGTGCTCAGCTAAGAACTGACAGTGTCCCTGTTCAAATTTCTGCTCCTACTCAGGCAGAGGGGGGAAAACTGTGGCTCATCCATATCCCAAGTGAATGTTTTACTCTCTGGGCTAGAAATCAGGAGGGAGGTTCCACCCCTGGGAGACTGTATAAATGTCTTCTCCCCCTCCTCCAGCATTCCATGAAAGCTTCTCTGTAGGCCCTGATCTACTAGGCAAGGTCTGAGCATGTGTAATGCTGACAGGCAGAACTGAACCTGGGACCTCTGGAGCTTAGTGTATGAGCCACTACTGCTTGATCTAAAAGCCAGATGGCTCTCAGCTGAAGTTGTAAAAGAAACTCATTTTTTCTCTCTCTGTAAGTGGTCTAAGTGCCACTAGATGGGACAGAGCACCACAACCAGCAGGTGTGTGGGTTGCACATGATAATTGAACCAGGCTCTGCAAGTGAGCAATGCTTAGCTTCCCCTGAATTCTGCATTGGTCTGAGCCTTAGGTCTCAGGACATCTGGCATAGAGGTTCAGTGCACATGCTCAGCTGCAGAAACATGGTGTCAAGGGAACTTTTATAGCAAAAACATAGGCACTAAATGAGGAATCAGCCACCTATGGGTTCAGAGGGGCCTGATTCATGGATTTAGGTGCCTAAAGTGATAGGTGCTGTCTATGTTTTTTGTGAGTATGTTTATTATAGACGTGAGGAGGGAGTAGACAGTGATAGTTTGGTTCTACAGAGATGGTGACAATTTGCTAAAAAATATTATTTTGAGAAATATTCTAGGATTGCAACCTTGAGGTCTTTGCCCTTTCACTTCATTGCTATAGTAAACAGGAAAAAAATACAATAATTTAAAATTATCCATGGTTTTTTTGGGATAATATTCAGTCCTTTAACTTCTGTATGATACTATCTTTACAGAAAAAGTGTAGATTTGTTAGTCTTTGAAAAGAGGGTCTAAATACAGTGGCTAAAAACAATAAACAAATAATGGATAGAAATAAGCCCTATCGAGGATTCATGACAAAGGTTTGGCAGTGCTCTTCAGTTGTGACCTGCAACTCACCTGAGTTATGTGGCCTTGTACCAGGCTATGGCTAGACTACATTGAGCTATCAGAAAAAGGTATGCAAAAACATTTTTCGGAAGAGGTTTTTCCGAAATATGGCCCATCTACACTGGGCCAAATTTCAGAAAAGCCTCCTTTTTCAGAAGAGCCCTTCTTCCTCATGGAAGGAGGAAGCAGAGCCAGCCCAAGCTACAGGATGTCTGGGCTACTGCCCCATTGTAGGGGGCGCTACGCGGGGTTGCCGGACCAGGCGGGGGCAGGGCCGCGCATGCGCCAGGCTTCCGGGCCCCGGGAGTGCCGTGCACCCGGGGGCGGGGTCGCACATATACCACACTCCTGGAGACAGCTCCATGCTCCTGGGGCCCGGGCCGCACGAATGGTTCAGGCCGGCCCTGGGAGGAAGACAGGGCTTCTGAAAAAGCATGTCTGCTCTTCTGCAAAACAAAAGCAGAAGAGCAGACGCATTCCCTGGATGCGGCAGAGTTTTTCCGGGATACCTCTGAAAAAAACCCATAATGTAGACATAGCCCCATATAAACAGAAAGAGACAGTCCTGCCAAATTGGGCCAATTTATTTCTAAGAGTTAGTCAAATAGCTAGTAAGTATTCTACAATTCCATTCTTTCCATTTGTGATCCAATAATTTACCCTACAGAGTAAATGTATCCACTGCAGTGTTAGCCCTTCATGTCCAATTGCTGCTGTAGGGTCAAATTGTGACTCTACTCATGCAGCAGCATTGAGGCAGAAGGTAGTATAGTTCTGCCTCAGAAGCAGCAGCTGTGTCAGTGTATATTTCAGAGATGCTTCAGCATAAAAAGACACTATATTAATATAAATATTAGAGTAGTATGTAAACAGTGGTAACCCTTTGATTGTTGCAGTTAACATTTGTTATTGCCACTAGACTGTACTATAATAATTTAGGATCATTTAGGTTCGGTATGCAGAGCTACATTTTAGTGTGTTTTATTATACATGAAGAAAAACTGGCTGCCATTCTTGTACAATGGCAAATATTTAAAACAAAACACAAAAAGAAGTTGTAGGTGAAGGCTGTGATTTTCAGATCTGCCTAGCAGGACTAAGACATGTAATACCCAATGAAATAAATGAGAATTATGTATCTAAATCCCCCAGTTGTTTTTTAAAATCTCAGCAAAATCAAAATCTCAGATGTAATTTTGGGTTATCAGAAATATGGAATAACTGCTGAGGCTTAGATACAACATTAAACTGGGGGTGAGAGAGAAGCAAGGTGTAGAACTGTAAACATAGATAAATGGTGTTATTAAAAAGTTATGAAATTAAAATTCAGAGATATAGATCAAAGAAGAAGAAAATACAAAAATATACCAAACCAGCATTGTTCTTATAACAGTAATTTATGAGCCTTGTTCTTCATTGTCTAATATGAATGAAGCAGACTTCAAGCTTGCTAAAATCAGACCATGATTTTTATACCTTACTATACCGAGGTATTTTAAGATGCTTTAGATGCTTTACATTTATACTTAAATTAAAAATTAATCTGTACTATAATGTTAATGAATAGTAAAAAATCAATTACAGTAGCTGTAAAAGCAAACATCTTCAGATTAGACAAAGGCTCTGACATTTTTTTCCTTTTACACCCAAAACTTTGAGTGTTTTGAGTGTGCAAGAAATAGTGTCAGATTGCCACAGAACAAATGAAAGGTGTCTGATTTCACTGGGGGTGGAGCACAGTAGAAAGATTCTCCCCAGTGGCACACTTCTGGAGTGAAGCATAAAATTAACTGAATCAATTGACCAGAGCAGTCATTCCATAGAACAAGGAGTCACTTATTCAGTATCTTATATTGTGGGGTAGCT